ATCATATAAAACCAGAGTTTTTAAAAATACAGTTTGTGGCGCTCTTAAATGGCGAAAGTGTGTTTATCATGAAGTTACTAAAATAGTAAAATATAATTTGAGCAATTTTGAATTTTCATTCGTCTGTTACAATATAGGTCACAGCGCTCAGCGACCATTATTTAAAATGTGTTAAATAAAGCTTTTGTGTTAAATTAAGGCAATTATCTTAACTATTTATTGTTTTCATAATTATTCTCATAAACCATTTGAAGTAGTCAAAGTCGCGAGTTTAAGTATTTTTTCATGTATGATAAAAGTGTTAAAAGCACCTTTTAGTAAAACTGGCAGAGACGATTTTTTAAAATTTTTTCTTGCACGCAAATTGACTTACACGTATATATTATGTACACTATACCATTATTACCGTTAGTATTACAACAAAGAGACAAAGTGAAGTTGCGCGTACTATATGCAACACGACATTGAAAGATATGTTTTTGAATAAAACAGAAAGGTGTGTTTTAGCCTCTTTTATCTATACTCTTCAGATGATATTATCTTGCACCGTTCAAACTGTTGAATGGGATCCCGAGGGTATATTCTACAAACAATTCGAAAACTTTAGTCCGAATTCTCAAAGTGTTTTCGTGAAATGTGTTAACAATTATTAATATTTTACTTCGGCAAAAATAATCGAATCAGAAAAATAATAATTATGATGTATTATTGGGCCGACCAGCACATTTAGTTTGTTTCTATACAAGAATCGAAAATGCCAACTGCAATAACAAGTTTTATTATTCGAAAATGAAAAATTATGAGTTTGTGTTATAGTCAGAGATGTTATTGTGTAAATAGGTACACGAAAAATTTCACCGGCTAAATTATGTAAATGTATTGTTTGTGTATAATATGTCTTTGTTGTACAAATAAACTCAATGATTGGTCGACAATTAAAGATTAAAAAGTTTACATCAATAATTAAAAATCAATTACCCAATATTATAAAAAAAAATTCAGAACACTTATTGAATTTATTTGAATTTATGATAATTATTACCCAACAACATAAAAAAAAATTAAATACATTTATTGAATTAATTGTTTTAATTTATAATATTACAAAATACGTTTTAAATTACTAGCTAGATATAATATTACGTATTGAAGTATAAGTCATAACCTACCTATATAGGTCATAGGGCAAATTCGATGCATTTTCAAGTTATAGATATACAATATAATTCTTATCAACTTAAACATAGGGTAATCATATAATTAATTATTTACCCCATTTAGGCTTACCCTGTTTATGCTGATATTTTAGTTTGAACATCTAGACTGTGTGCTTGATATTATCGATTTTCAATAAAATATCGTGTGTGATATTTTATCGCCTAATTATTACAGTTAACATCTTTTGCATAGCAATACAAGATATTTATTTCCATAAATTAAAATTAAGCCATATAAACATAATATTATACACATCGTATAATAATATAGGCGGTACGTACTATAGTCTATAATGTCGATTTGATTTTGATGAATCTATTTATATAAAGGAATTTGTATAATATAAATAGTTTATAGCTTTGAGTTTTATATCGGACATGTTATTATTGTATTGACACTTTTTTGGCTCATTTTTTTAGTTTAAATTTTCTTTTTCATTTTTATCCGCTTAACGCTGTCTCTGGCATAGTTCAAATGCTAATTCTTCGACGAGTTTTATTTTTAGTCGAAGGAGTTGGGCCTGAAATGCCATCACCCACTCTTTGGATAGTAAATATTACTAATAAAAACTTTCGAAATCGTTAACTTTCTTCTATAATATTTTACATCGTGCCTGTGCATAAGTATAAGTATCGAAGTGTTTTCTTCTTTTTTTTCAAACAATAAATAGTGATTATTATTACTATTACTATTTTTTTTTTTATTTTACAAACGAATAAGCTTTATTATGCAAATTAAGCAACAGCAGAATTTCGGCATATTTATGTTTCACAAATTACTATACAGTCACAGTGGCTCGCATCTGACTTCCCCTTAAGTGGAGAATTCCATAACGCAAAATATTGATGAGGGCGCTAACTGTATATTCTTTATTTTAAACACACAAAAATAACAAAACAACAAAAACGGAGCTCTACTCATCAAGAAATGTTACTTTAAATCGCAAATAGCATGATTTTTTTTATGTTGTTCGTCGCATCGCGTTTATGATGATATCTGAAATCTTAATACTAGTCAACTGTTTCCATTATACAGCAGACTCTCGTTACTCTCTGCGTTATTTATGTGCGCGTTCAAAAACTTAAACTCTACACACATAGAACAAATGTGTGTACAACGCATTAAGTATTTCATTTCGCACAAGTTTCCGTCAGTTACATATTACTACTATGAATGATTTACTGGCAACTTTTGATACAATCCAAAGCCAAGGACCGGAGATATAGGGCCTGCAAATTTGACGGAAACCCTATTTGTCTGCGTGTGAGAGAACGAGAATGGAGTTAAAAAGATAAAACCTTTTAAAAATGTTTGTGTATTTCGACGTCAAGCTCTATAATACGCAATATTACACACACACACACACACACACACACACACACACACACACACACACACACACACACACACAATATAACCAAAGATATTTTGTAGCTTTGTCCTTTTCATACAATTCACACACAGTGTTAATACACGACATTATATTATCATATCATAATAATTCCCATTAATATTCATTTATTTTGATCGCGAGCACAAACTGTGTAGGGTGCAGGGTTATTACGACGTGTATTATATTGTGAATCATCCTGAACGTTCTCGGAGTGTTTTAAAAATTAATGTTGGTTCAAAGACTATAATTAAAAATCCAAACTGTTTGTCCAGGTGATAAAAATTAAGCCGGGCCGTCTACATTCGTGGACTCGAATCTTTTTGTTCATGATTCGTTTCTAGAAAAGAAAATATTAAACTTTTCGAACGTTAAAATATCATGTAAAATATGCTCGTAATATACCTAAAAAATGTATTGTTCGTACACTAATATGCCTTATTCCATGTAAAAATAACAATATAAGGCTCCTCATACAATATACCAACACCGCGTTCAGAGTATTAGTTTTCAACGAGTATTTTTCGTAGTTTTTTCGAGTACATAATAATATAATAATTTTATACTCGTGTAGTAACAATTACTCATTTTTTATATCGCACACGTAACACATAAAACATTCACGTTATATTCATATAGTTAGTTATTACATTATTATTAATATGTATTGTCGTCCATATAACGCAAAACATATTTTATTCACTACATTAACGTTCATTGTAATGTGATAATTATTATTACTAACCAGCGAACGTATTATATACGATTATATTATGTATAGACATTATTTACAGTCGTGCTTAATTAAATATCAAAATATGTTTAATTTATATATTTTATAAACACGAATGAATACGGAGCAATTAATTATGAAACCATACTCGTAAAATATCAATTTTCCGATTGTAAATTAAAATGATAATAGGATTTATTTTGTGTAACGATGGCATTTGTTTTGCTTGTGTGTTCAACAACAACAACAACAGCATCAACGACAGATAAAAATAAAATAAACATCGCGTACAAAAATGCATTGTTCCGTTTTACTGCACGTATACAATATTATAGACTCTAGAGTTTTAGGGTCGAATGTTTTATAATATATTTTAATATTATGATGATATTATTGCAATCATAATAATAAGTTATATTGATGTTTATTATTGCCTACTGACCTGATGACGTGATAGTATACGAATCGCCGGCGGGAGGCTATTAATATATTTAGGTCCTAGGCAGGTACATGAAATTGTTTCGGTTCAATATTTTTAACGACAAAAACTCAACTTGGATATTAGTCTTTTCCCTTCGAAATCACTGTATACGAAAGGAATTACAAGAAATCGAATTTAGCGCTTGTAATATCACAAACGAGATTTTTAAGTATTCACTTTGAATATTACTGTGCAAAAAAAATCTTTGGGTTCAAAAATAAAATTACAAATTGTACTTATATTATAAAGAAAAGAAGTTGATTTAAAACATCTCCATTCCCCGTGAAATAAGTAAACCAGATGTGATGTAAATTTCCCAAGTTTTTCAATTTATATTCTTATAAATGAGATGATAATATGATGATATTGTTTTTAGAGAAATCTCTGAACAGCTATAAGCACTTTGTTCTCGGAATTATAAACTACCGAAAAACAAAAATGATCTCGACCATCTACCCAATTTATTTGGTATAAATCTATTTCATTGTGACTTTAAATTTTATATTAATTATAATTACCGGCAGAACGGTAAACGGTGAAAAGTAATTTTAAATTTATTTCTCAAAAAAATAGCATAAGCACGGTTTAACTTAAATATAAAATTAAAAAAAAAAAAAAAAACATTTTAAATTTTGCCATCGTAAATAACATGTTATATTAATTTAGATTTTGAGCATAGCTAAAAGTGTATTGGTTTAAATTTTATGAATTTTGTATGTGTATTTACACTTTTATAGGTTAAAAAGCTACAAATGTTTCAAGTAGGTACCTACTACTACGTTGATTGAAAGTGTCATGCATTACATGTGTACTTGTTAGTGATAGTTTTTCAATTTTCTCATTAGGTTTCCCAGAGCGCAAGGAAAAACTTCCAATAAATATGAAAAAAAATAAGTAAATGTAATCAAGTGAGGTTTTAACAAATATAAATCGGGTAGTTTTTTCGAAGGTAACTCAAAAAATAGATGTAATAAATAATGGGATCCTATGTATGTCAAAACCGTTTTATCACTACATGTTTAACCAAGCTGTACTTGGAATCATATTTTCAATGTTTCAATATTTATCGTTACTTTCACATTCAATATCACGATACAAATGTAACGAACTCGGTCTTTTGGTGAATCAAACTCCTATAGTCCTACATTCCACTTAATTTATTGTGTTTTTTTTTTCAGAACAATATGCTTCCAAATGGTGAAAAAACATTTATTGGAAACTCGTATACAATTGACTCTGTCCGAAGACAAGCCGATGGAGTTTACATCTGCACCGCATCAAATAATATCGGAACAACCGTGAACGAAGAAATCGATCTAAACATACTATGTAAGTGTACTATTATAATAGCTAATACTCTATATTAAATTGATGTTTCATAAAGTACAACTAGGCATAAATGAACTTACCTTTCAGAACTCAACCACAATGTGGATATTAATGTACCTATATATGAATAATTCAAATTATTTAATATCCACTGCAGAGTAAAATCAAATTATTTATATTAATTTTATTACATCTATATATAATTTAGGTGTACATTTAGTCTTTTTAAAGGTTTTATAATTATTTTTTACGACACCTAGTTTAGATTCAGTAATTAATTTTTAGTTTTTAAATTAGGCTATTTTTCAAATATAAAAATGTGTATAATATATATCTTAGAAATAAAGATATAAATATCAATTACTATAAAATTATTTCAAAATTTTTTTAAATTATAATTTTATATCATTTTTAAATTTAAATGATTATTTATTTAAAAAAAATACATTTTATATAATATTAAATATTGGTAGAAAAATATTTATAAAAAACCAAGAAGATGATATTTATCAGAAACTAATAACAAACTAAACGCGAGTTTCAACTTTTAATATACCTACTTCATTTGAGTATTTGTTCTAAAAAATTAGTTTTATAATATACTTTAACTACTCATAGTTTTTCACTGTAGATAAAAATACAAAAATAAATAAATATTATTTCATTCACTTATACAATTTCCATAAAATATAATTTTTTTGTTAGTATATTAAAATTGTAATAAAATATAATATTTTGTTTTATTTGTATTGATCTAAAATAAACTTTGACTGTATAATATGCTGTTAGTTTTATACAATTTTTGTTGATCTAGTTTTATTTTGATTATAAATTCCATTATATTATAATTTGGATTTTCTTATGTATATAGTAATTAAATAAATATAGTAATTAAATAATTCAAAAAAAAAATATATAAGTACATTACATTATAATCATGCCATTATAAATGTATTATATTATACATCATTGCACTGTACTATAAGTGTTTGTTTTAAATTTTCGAAATCAAACCCTCTTCGATTTGGAGCTAGTAAGTTCTTATATCTCGAAAAACTTCATTCTACGTCGGTTGATGTAAGCGGAGCGTATTTAAAATAAGATACATCGCTTACTGTTAAGTCTTCGGGTAAACCATCGAACGATTTTCTTTGTCCAGTTAGTATATCATTGATTTTAATAATGGTTTTAAGTCATATATAAATTTTAATATGGCTAAAATAGTTGTATAAATGAGTAAATTCGACAAAATTGCAATAAAATTGAAAAAATCCCAAAAATTGCAAAAAATTGCACTTAAAACTTTTAGATTTGAATTCGTACTTACATGAAACGTATTTAAAACTTACTTAGCAATTAATTGAAAAAGTAGAAAAAAAGTTGCAAATGCAACATCATCCGTGCCCTAGTAATTATATTATTCACTATAGTGATATCTTAAATCGAATTTAACCTGTCTACACTCTACGCATACCTGCCTATTTAATTTATTATGTCATGTAACTATGGTTCACATAAGAGGTCACAATATTCTTCCCTCGCGTTCATACCTAATCAGTCTTTATTTGACTACTATTACTGCAAAACACGGCCATTTGTGGTTTTAGTCATTACATTATCAATTAATTTTGCTCCATACTTTCTAACTGGCATTTCTCAATCCATGTTTTCCTTCCTTGCATTCATTCACTTACCATCCCCATCATAAAACAGTCATTTTTTAATCCCTTCAAACCTAACCTCATTTTCTAATTTGGTACCTACATAATTAAAATATTTTATTTTTTATCATAATATTAAAATATAACCTCTTAATATTGGAACATTGTTTTTGTTTGTTTTTTTTCTGGTTTTGATGTAATATTTTGAAATATTTAATATATGGCACTAAATATCAAAAACAATAAGAACTATACAAAATTATCAAATTATGTTTTTATAATATTATGTTATAATATGAAGTGTCAACACACGAAAAATATAGAAATGTTCCCTCAACCTATCTGTTGTGTTAAAATATCGAATACCAAATGTATATTTTACTAGAACAGAAAGAAGTGAAAAATATATTTCATCATTGAGTTGGTCAGGTTAGGATTTTGTCATTCAACTGGGTTGCATTTAATTTCATCACATACATATAGCTATTTCGATATTCAAAGTGTTCAACATTTTTTATTTTACACAATAAATTATCGTTTGTATTAAAAATCCACACTGAAAAGTTAAGACCTTGAGTACTATAATATATAGTACTCTAAAATATTTCAAATAAAATCACTTAGGTACTTTTAGGTTCATGTACAACGTTATTGCACAGAAAAATATCATTTACTAGTGCACACAATTTTACACTGGATCCGTTCCAACCTAACGCCCTATATTAGGGCTTGGAAACGTTATAATAATGTTATGATCATAAAGTTATATTTGACAAAAAACCATTGCAATTTGTAAACGAAATCATAACGGAAAGCGATGATAAAAAATAGTTGATAACGCAACAAAAAAACATAACGACTAACAAAATATATAATATATCATTAAACAAAACATAACTCAAAACGTAATTATAAAATAGCATTAAACGAAAAATATCGCAAAACGTAATTTATAGAATTTCATTGAACGAAAAATAACGCAAAACGAAATTATTTAAAATCCATTTGTTTAAAAGTTATATTGGTTTCGTAGAAATATGTATTTCATGCATATGGACATTAGAATTGATTATATTATATTCCGTATCCGGTCCAATCCCTGTCCTCATTAGTTATTATTAATACATTTCATAGGTATTGACACTATTCTAAATAACGATAAACGCAAAACTTGGATAACGTTTTAATTCCGAATAACGATAATCGCAAAACTTGTATAACGTTTTAATTCTAAATAACATGAAACGGAATTTTTTCGAATTCAAGCTCTTCCCTACAAATTGTATTTACATTTTTGACAATAAATTCAATACAGTAATACTGGGCCCCCTGTTCTGTTATTGTCTGCCTCGCTGTCACAACTTATTATTATAATGTGGGTTACGGAGCAATACCTCGGCATTTTAATATAATATTATATTTGATTCGCGGTGAAATTTCGTTTTGAGTTCACGGTGGAAGCGTATTTATTTATTGTAATTTCTATTGTACTCCGCGGGAAGGAAACGGGTATTTTCGGCGTTCGCCGAACAAGGCAATTAAACTTTTCCATTGTTGCCGATATTAATTATACACGAAGGCGGATAATGGAATCATTGGCGTGAGAACACGTCTCGTAACAGAAATGCGACAAGACACGTGCGCAGGAGAAAATCCGTCGCTAATAAAAATTCATAAGGATTTGGCTGCGGTGAATACGCTCGGCTAGGTGTATTCCGCCCGATGAAATATGCAACGAGCACTTGACGTCCATCCGGGTGTCTGCGCTTAATACGCAGCTTTTGCGGTTATCAGACTCGCCGTAGAGTGTATAGAGGCACCTTCCCGAAAGGTTTGAATAAAAACAGAAAAACAATATAATATAATAACTCATTTTTGACCGTCATAACGGGAGCTAAAAATGTAAAAAAAAAACCCTCATAGTATTACGTACAATATAATAATATTGTACTGAAGTCGCGTCGGTCGTGGTTTAAAAACAATATAATGTTACCTGATGAAACAATAAAAAAGAAGGTTTGTCGTGAAGAAAAAACTGACTCGAACATTTGTCGTAGTTTGTGTTATATCTTGTCCACGAGTGATCAAACGTGGTATTCGCATAACGTATTACGTTTATATCATAATATAAATTATTTATGTTTGAATTTTATCTAGTTTATATTATAATTTATTATCTAGTTTAATATATTTTATACGACCTCCAGGAAAACTAATTTTGAAATACCCGAAAAATTTGCATAACTTATTAATTATATACGCTTTTAATGTTCATAAAGTTAGCAGTCGCATTTTTTTTTTTTTACAACCCTTATTACGTCGTGTAGATGCTTTACTATGTACATGTTATACAGAAGCAGCGAAACAGAGTCGTTTGCCCGAACGTAGAAAAGGCAGGTAAATAATCGCGTATTTTTGGTAATATATAATATATTCGACTTTAAACGGAAACAAAAATACACACACACACACACAACAATACACAAACAGAAACATCTATCACGACGTATGATATGTATCAAAAGATAAAAACTTTGTTTATTATTTAAACTGCGCATAAACTTACTGCGGGCCCACCCCAAACCTTCTCGTTAACACTATATATATATCCTGTCTCGTAGTTTTATTTGACATTTTGTGTTTTAACGTAATACACACACTGCACACACACACACAACCACCACGAGGGCGGACAATAATGTTCAAACAAATATTTGCAACCGAGTTCTGAAGGCTGAAAATAGCGCGTATCGTTGTTTGTAACTATTGGGACGATAATATTATGTGAAGGCGATGTATATATAGTAATATATTGTGTGCGAGTGTGTAACACGCGAGTTATTATGATACGTTTATTTGTGTAGCCCGAAAAAAAGAACTCTCATACATACATAGGTATATATATTTATGCGGAGTAATTCGGAAGGAAAAAAAGGCGTCACTGTCGGTTTTGAGAATATAAAAGGACATGATACAAAAAAAAAAAAAAATGTAAAGAAAATAATATCGCGAGAGAGAATTAATTTTTTTCCCCGACGTTTTTAGAAAAGTAGAAAAGCGCATTCGAAAAACCCGTATGGGCTCAAGTATGCCAGCGGCGTCTGTTTATTCTGGAAAATGTACGCCAGAAGGAATTTATCGTTATTCTTATTTTCTTTTGCCGCTCCGCAAAGAAAACCGAACGGAAACGGATGGAGGAAAAAAACACACGCCAATGAAATCAACAATGTTAATATCAGCTATACTCTTACAGAAAAATCACGTGGTCCGTTGTTTCCAAACAATGAGAGTTCGTTAACGTTCTCTTTAAATTTCTCGCAGCTCTCCCTTTCGAGAATCGGTTTCTCTTCTTGCAAAAATATAACATACAAAAAAAAAAACCGACGAGCGATATATTATATTATTTTCGTCTATTTGTATTTTTTTTTTCCAAATCGACATTTTGTCAAAATAGGATCGTCCGCCCTCGCGCCCGCTCGTGACGTGTGTGCGCCCGCGTTTGTTTACCTCCGGTCCGCCGTCGCAGTCGTATCGTATCGTACCGACGACAGCCAGGATAACGTGATTATAGGACATGTCGTGTGTATGTAGAGGGTTAGGTATATGGGTGTGTGTGTGTGCAATTCGACGTGGAGAAAGTGTGCAGTGCAGGACTCACAAATTGCAGTGCACGCACGTGAACCATCGCAGACGGAGGGCCGAGGGGTATCGAGCACAGAGGTATAAAAGTTTGTGTGTTTGCGCAAAATTTGAAGAGCCCACTCTGCGTTCGTCTCATCGATATATATATATATATATATATATAAGTCGTTTTCTAGTCACACATCCCGATTCGACCCTCACCTTGGCCTGCGACTCGACCGAATATATATATACCACGAGGTTTATCTGATTAAGGTTTATATGAAGACGGGGTCGGATGCCGACCCTGCATCATTTGCGGGGGAGGCGCGCAATCGTCATCTGACGAGAAAACAGTATTCTTCTATACACAAAAAATATATATATTATGTACAACATGTACGAAGTCGTAAACACTATATGTTATTATACACTATGCGTGTGTGTGTGTGTGTGTGTGTGTGTGTGTGTGTGTGTGTGTGTGTGAGTATACATTATTGTATATATGTGTAAGTGTGTGTATACAACGGAAAGACAAACATAGAGTATCACATAATATTAAGTGATACCTTTATCATATATATATATATACATATAGGTGCCCATATAATATAATATAATATTGTACTTTGTCATACATACAATACCTACATAGTACAATATTATATTGGTGGTTAAATTTAACAACATGTCAACGATAAACAACGGCTTCGATAATACGTATTATCAAATATTATAGGTACTCAGTGCTTTTGTAAGCTCCTTACAAAAATGGAAGTGGCTATTTCAGGGTACAGCGTGAATCATATACCAATTATTGCCAGGTCCTATGTTTAGATTGGCCTAAAAAATGATATAAATGTTGTTTTTTAACTATGAAAAGATCATGCTTCGATATAAATAATATGTTAGACTTAACGTGACCTTGGACATTTTTCAATTTTAATGTTCTTTGTTAAACAGGCGTCATGTATATTATTGTTATTAAATATTACTCTAAGCATACATCATAATAGAAAAACAGTTTACTTTATATAGTACACTCAGAAATACGGTCATACAGAACAATTATAATTCATTATTCAGTAGTTAATAATATTTTGTCCCATAAAAATCTTATTAGTTCACTGTTATTAATAAAATATTGATTGTTAACCGGTTATAATAGACAGTTAATTGTTTGCAGTTATTGTACATAGGCATAGTTTTTTTTTTTATGTCAGAAGATGTCAGCACTCAGTGCATACTAATTAGGTAATTTGTTTTCTCTTTGACGTTCCGTGTGGGTCAAAATAGCAAATTTTTGTTCAGTATAGCACATATTTTGTGTTAATGACTATGATATTAGATTTAAGTAACCTATTATCAATATTAAACTTAACATAATTTAATCCCTTTTTTCAAATCCCCTTCAAATTCATATTTTTAACCCCTATTTGCATTTTGGAATTTTTTTAAAATATTACAACTATTTGCGTTGTATAAGTATTCTTAAATCGTAGTGAAATTGAGATCTTAACAATGACATATCATTCATCTATTGAAGTTTCACTTTTATAACTGTTATCTCTTCGATGGTAGGTTCCTTAAAAATAACAATGTTTTATGATTATAAGCTCTGGGTCAACATTCCAGCCGTTCTAAAATTAGATAGATAGGTACGCATCGGAAATAGCAACTTCCTACACAAATATGTATGTGGTGTACCAATAGTAAGTGTACGTTTCACAAAATACTTGAATCATGCCACTGACTTTATAAATACCTATACATTTATTAGGAAGCGTATAAGGGACAAGACCTTAGAAAATATGGACATTTGAAAATTCATTTCCCTCCGTAAACAACATTATTGGCTCCGAGTGCTGTTAGAGTATGAAACGCGACACTCATTTGTATTTCAATAATTGAAATACAAAAATATAAGTACTAATTATTAGTAGGTACCTGTACAACTATATTATAAGGGTTTAACAAACGATAAGATGTCTAATAATATACAAAAATCAAATTTCAAAATAATCCCTAAATTACGGTTTCAAAGTGTCTGTTGAGTTAAAATAATATGGTTATAAATATATGTTGTATATCAATTGTTATACAAATACAATGTAATAATGCACTTGAATAATTTAATATTCAGTTTAGTACTATCATATATTTACGCGTATCTTCGCGTGTTTATTATGTCATCATGATGTCGTATATCTTCTGCTTTATTTAGATTTTGACTTTGAATTTTTTAGATCCTCCGGAAGTCAAAGAAGAACAATCGATTGTATTCACTGTGGAAGGACAAGAAACTGAAATCGTCTGCATAGTACACGCAGAGCCCAAAGCCGACGTAAGTTAGACGACTTTGGTTTTTATTATATTTTTCTATAAACATATTTTCACTTGAGATGACTCTTAACGTGCGTCCTCTGAAATTCGTTGCTAACACAATCGATTTTATCAATATACAATAATAATAATAATATTATTAATGCACTCTCGTAAAATACAAACAATTGGCGGCACTATTAACATCGCGTTTTCTATACATTGCCGGGCCTCAAGTTTTCAACGGACACATTAGACCCAACAGATTAGCGAAGAATGTTTTTTAGTTTGAAACAATGAATAACGTTCAGACAATGCGTGAGCCAATGGTCGGTCGAGGGATACAATATATATTATATTTACCCCTCCGAGGGTCGGTTGTTGGGGGGCGGGGCGCGGGGGATCCGGGAAGGAAATTTGAGCGCGGCAGCCGGCAAGAGATCAAAATTATTATTATCGCGGTGGGACGGCAGCAGTTGGCGTGGTACGGTTACATGTTTATCACGAAAACTCTGTAAATTGAAAATTACACCTAAATTGCGGTCATTCGTAATTTGCCGTTATACTACGTTTCCTCGGCACGTTTTTGTGCGATCTGCCCGCTTTTCGCCGACGGACAACCGCCAGTGAAATAATTATTTCGTTGCGGCGGCGGGCCACGGAAGTCATTAGGTCGGCCGACAAATTACGGTGAACACACACACCCGAGCCCTGCAAAATGGAAAACGTGTGTGTAGTAGTAGTAGTAGTAATAGTAGTATATTGTAGTGGCAGTAGGCTGAGGTAGTACAGTAGCTGTATTATTAGTAGTTGTAGTTGTGCAGGTGATGGCGTTGGTGGTGGTGGTAGCAGTACATACGGTATTAGTACCACCTAGTTTTTATTACGACCCAAATATAAGTTTATGAAGTCAATTTTACCGTCATAACGACCAGGTGTATCGGAGTTTTCAGACTCGTTTTTATTTTTTCCTACGATCTTTTCGCTCTCTCTATAATATAGTGATGCAACTACAAAATAATATACGATATACATATTATTGTAGGTGGTACTTCCCTCGAATGGTTGACGAATCAATTCGTTTTCAACTTACGGTTGACAACTAGCCGTAACAGATCAACTGTAAGTGAAAACGCACCATATAGTCTTTTTGTGTGTTTTGAATATTACTCAACGTTATCATCAGAATAAATTATAATACAGTATTTCCACAGATTGTACAAGAACATGATAGACTTTTTATAGGTATGCGATCTGTGGTGTTTTTATAATGGTGTTAACAATAATGTTTTAATATTAACTTCTAATGATAATTTACAATATTATTTAGTGTTCTGTATTGATTTGCCAATGTGTCATAAAATGTTTTAACTATTTAGCTTAACCACCAACTCTCCATATATAATGTCGATGACCAGGTACTAGCCCAGGAACTAGGAAGGAAGATACTTAATTCCCTATTTCCCCAAATTTGTATTAACTCGTTTTATACTTGCGCTTATTACCACATAGCTTAAATCAGCTATGGATGCATGCCACGGATGTCGTTTGAGTCTTGGACAAGTCTTGGTTTTATTATTCAGTTTTCCTCTATATCTCAATACTACTAATAACTTTTCTTTTTCTACCCTAACGAATCGTATTTTTAAAATCTAAAAACTAGCATTTATAAATTAATACAATTTGTTGTATTGTTAAATCTGTTTTTAAAATCTAAAAAAATGGTTTTTCATAATATCTTATAGTTTTTATTAATGACATATTTTTTTTCAAATAAAAATATTCCTGAGTAGTAAGTAGGCACCAATCGACTTTGTAAAAGCCTTGGCAATGCCTTTCAAGTTTTGGACTATTTTCTAAAAATAAAAAAAATCTATTGTAATCATTGTTTTAAAAAGTAAAACACATTAAAAATGTACATTATCCGTGGGTGTACTAAACAATTTTCGTAGAGATCTATAATAATATAGATATAGAAAAAATTATTTTTACATGTTATAATATGACTAGGTACATAAAAATCCATATTTTACAATACATTGTGTTATAATTCATGATATACCATAGTAAATTACCCAACGAGCATTTCAAAAACTATGATGAAAAAAAATAAAAATATAAATAATTTATGTAGGGATTTCCTGTAGGACCTGGAGTGGTTGTGGGATCTCCCGTACATTTTTGATCTTCTGCTGCAATACTATTTAACTTCAAGCAATCTGTGATACGGTTTGCATCTGAAAAGCCTCGCAACATCATCTTAAATGTTATAAACTGATTTCCGGAGTCACATCCACATTCTGCGGTGGGATCAATCGTATCGATGTACTTTGTTATGATTCCCTGTGCGTTTAATATGTCTTTGGCAAATTTGCCCTACAAACAAAAGAAATAATATTGAAACTCGAACATTTATCTCATTACATTTTGTAAAATATTACTTTATCATAGAACGAATCTGAGTTATCAGCACACCAAATTTTCATGTACTTAGAATCTGCACAAAGCTGTAATGTTACAGTGTATTTTTTACAAAACATTACAATTATTTGAATATCCTTAAATGGAAGAGTGACATAATATTATGGTTAACACGGTGAATAAAATATTATTACCTGTGCGTAATACATAAATAATATGATCAACAGTCAACACTAATGATATCGTTTATTTAAATTCGTAAAGTAAACGGGTTAATAGAAGTACACAGCTAATTTATTTCTTTGTATCAAAAAATTATTTATAAAGCATAAAACATCTGAGCAAGTCACTCTACTATACTATCATTAATCACTTATCAGTTAGGAACTTGTATCTAAGTTTCATGACCGAATTAGTTTGGTGAGTAATTTCCAAGTAACTTTAAATAAAAGATATATTATTTTTTTATTATTATTATTCAAGAAGAACATTATGGGACATTAACCTAAAATTACGTTAATTTATTATATGAATATAATTAATGTTGTAATTTTTAAATATTGAAATATTTCATGTAATAATCATAGATATAAATTATAAGCAATAGTTTTTTTTTTCAATAATATTAACGTTATAAATATTACCAATTGACTTAAAGTTTAAAATAGCTGAAAGCAACTAAAGTAATTTGAAAGTTATTCCCTGTCTATAAATTCTAAAATAATTAATAATATTTGATCAGAATATACGGTTAATAACAACAACAACAAATCGATTTTATTTAAAACTGGTATTGCTAACGTTTCCGCTCTTCGGGTCTTTTTGTTTTCTAGCTTATTCAAATTAATATTTAAAAATTTATATTTCTTTATATTTCCTGTTTATAAAAAACTAAATCAAAAACTCTTCCAGGAGCTACACTCAAACTTAACGAATCAACCATTTTTCCTGCTTGTCTGTGATGTCAGACATAAATAAACTACACTTAATTGTAAAACCAATACAATCATCGCTCCATTCAGAATCTGAAATATCGTATGATTTTTTTTCACACATTATGATATAATAATATTTAATAATAAAAAATAATTATTGAACTATGTTTATACTTTTTGATAAGTCACTGCGCATACTGGCAACACTGGTGAATCATTAGGTGTAGGATTACCTAAAAATTCAATATAAATTTTTTCCTTTGCGATCGTTGAAGTAAATAAAGCGTTTGATAATTTTGTCTGAAAAATACAAAATATTACCAATCTAATTTTTTAGAAGTTGGATACAAAATTACCAAAGAATTATCGGAACCACAAATGGTGTTAACTGGAACTATTCCACCTCTAAAATGATCATTGCATGGATTAAACTTATCAAACCCGATTACGTAATAGTCCATACAATCATTTAATACAGTAAAATCGAACCCTATCAATCAAACCACAGACATCATTTTTATTTATATGATATAAAAATAATATAATTTTTAGGTACCTATTATAAAACATTTAACATATTATTATATAAAAATTAATTAATAATATTAGTGTGTAGGTAAGTACTTGAAAATGTATTGTAAAAATAACAATTCATTTTTATGTCAAAAAATCCTAAAAATATGATTAATTTTTAATTAAATTTATGTTTATAATGTAAACTCATCCACTTACAATCTGGAGAATTTGGGTCGCCACTGTAATATATTATATTGCTTGCATTTACATATAATCCAATTTTTAAATTAGGAATTTTTAGTTTCATAACATTTACGTAATCTCTTAAATTTTTGCTGAAATCTGGATCAACATGATAATCTAAATTCTAAGAAACAATGAAAAATAAATACATTTATTAGTATTAATTAAATTTTAACTATGTAAATGTGTCCATCATAACTTATCTATATCAGTAATAGTAACGAAAAAATGTCGTTGTTATCCACAAATTCGTATAACATTGGATTACTAAATAATAATTAATTGTATCTTATGAAAGCAGTAGATCAGAAAAGGGGGGTATGGTTAAGTAAGGGTGAATATAAGGTAAGATAATGGGCAAGACAATTTGATAAAATGTATTATTTTTAAGTGTTGTAGTTCACATAATTATAACTGATATACCTAATAGGGCTGTATACTAGTTACTTTTCAATGATAACTACGAAATAAGTCTAATTCTTAATAAAATATTCGTAAGTTATACTTGAAATGCGACCTAAGATTTTTTTATTTTTCGTTGTATCTGAGTTATGACCCGATTAATATTTAACTTTTTGAGATATATCTTTATGTAATACATTCATGTCTATAATATTATCGTTGCCCGTTTAATAATAACGACAGTAAACAGTAAAATGAGTACCTAGTTATATTGTAAGTTTGTTAGTGTAGTTATAACACATTATTAGGTATATTAATGTCTTATAGTTATCATCATTTTTAAGACAAGTCTATCGTTGACTGTTTGAAAATGACAATAATTACAAAGTTACAAACTATTAACAAATTCGAATTTATAAAAAAAAAAATAAGATAAAAACAGTAAAACCGACATTTTTAACCTACCTGTTGTTATAATTCTAGAGACAGCTAGCCTGTATAAAAATAGGAAGGA